GCAGTTACCTCCACTGCACACAGCAGAGTGTGTCCGAATTGTCCGTTTTCACAAAAGGCCATTCTTCTAGTAAGGAGCTACAAGTTTAGCGTAAGTCGACTATGTTACAAAAACCAGAAGCGGGCCAAGCTTTACGGAAAGGAGCAAGGAACAAACATACTCCAGTCCTTCCTCACCCCTTAAAGCAGGTGAGATGCTTGGCCTTTTACTAAACCTTGGGAATAAAGCCATGTCTGCCAGCCAGGCGTGGTTTCACCATATGAGTGTTCTTTTCACGTGTCACAATTGTGTTTGGTTGGGTTTTTTTTTTCTTTTTTATATAATGGGGCACTGGTACACACTTACAGAAACAGTGAGGGAAGAAAGGGTCTTTCCATTAGCACCAGATTTGTGCCGGGACATTGATGCATCGCACGGAGGCTAACACAGCTTAGGTCTTTGAAAGCAGCATGTCTCACTGAAATGGGACGCGGGATGACAAAAGCATATTTCAGAAAAACTAGGAACCACAGGGCTTTTTTTGGAACACCATGCCGCTGAAGAATTGCACTCTACAATTCAAGCTTTAAATATTTAACACTACAGGCTGAAGAAAAAAAAAGCCCAAGGCAACTGACCAGTACAAACCAGAACGGTGTGAACTGGCCCAAGCAACTGGCTAGTATTTACTTCAAGATCAAGCAAGGCAAAAGTTGGTAAAACTAGCTAGCCATTAGAGCGGCAAATCAAAATTTCCAGAAGAAAAAAAAAAGCCCAACATAAAACTCTCCAGCAAACAGCCAGAAGTTACAGCAAAACTAACTTCTAAGCAGCATATCGAGCTCCCAGATGAGGTTAAGGCTCATCGAGTGAGGCACTTCCCACGCTTCTGAAATTTGAAACACCAAAACTCCCGGGGAGGCAGGAACTGGCACGGAGGGAAGTTCCAACTCTAATCTAAACTCTTCATTTAAAAACAGAACAGAACTGAAGCACTTAGAAAGATGATAGGGTAAAGTACACTCTATATAAATGTCAAACTAAACAGCCTGGGGAACATAGTATTATGATAACCATTTTCTTGTGGAAAAGAGGTTTTTTTCATGTACTAAGTAGTCACAGCAACAAAAATCACCATTACCAGCAATAACATGTCAGAGAAGATGAGAGCTTTGTGCAGTAGGATCTTCCAACCAATGTCGCTTTTATGGGAAGTGAGCAAGCGATGGGAAAACAGTTTGTGCTGACTGACAACAGCCACAGCAAAGATTTCTCCCCCCGCAAAGGGAACGATTAAAATCCTGTTTATGCTGAGACGTTCAGAACGGGATCTGCCCTTCCAAAGATGGAACACAAAATTAGGAAGTCATCTCTTCTTGATTTATTTGGGTTATTTTTGAATAGAAATAGGCTCCTGCAGAAACAAAGGCACATGCTTCCTTACAAAGGGAGGCCTAGAATGCCTTTTCTCAGGTTTCCTCCTGATGCCTCCATAAGAAGCCAAATCACCTACCAGTCATGGAGGGAATAACAAAATCAGCTTCAATGATTTAAGAGATGGTGGCAGAACTCCTTTTTGGCATGAGCCTCTCTTTCACTGCTCTTGTATAGAAAAAAGCCAAACCACAGAGAGGAACCAGCCGTGAGAAGTATTTCAGTAACCAGTCTGTGGCTATGAGAAGAGGCGGCTGTTATCACCAGAGCAACAAAACAGAGGACAAGGGTGGAGAGAGAAGCCGAAGGAATGCTGATGTGCTGGGCTGGGATTGAAGAGGGCACAGCAGGGTGTTTATTCATAGTCCATAGGGTTCGGCAGCTGTTTCAAAACAAGAGGTCACATCAAAGAAAAGAACCGTTAGCACAGCTCCTACATGAGCTTTTTTAAACCCAGATAAAGCCGTCTTGATAATGGTGAGGAGGAGGAGGAACTTCGGGAAAACTCCCTGTTCCAGAGAATTAGTGAAATTTGCTTCAGTGTTCACGTTAAGATGTCAAAGCAATTACAAAAATCAAGTAGGAAAAAATCCATCTAGGACTTCTCAGGCCTTAGCCCGGCGTAGGTGGGGGTAGCTCTGCAGAGTCCTGTCTATCGCTTCATCCAAGCTCACCACTGGTTTGTAGCCCATGTCTCTTTTAGCTCGTTCACAGCTGTAGTAGTGAAACGTTCCAGCTAATGCTACCCGCATGGGGGTAAAAGTGGGCTTGATGGTGACCAGCGGACTGAGCAGCCACAGCACTAGGGACAGGAACAGGGCCAGGTAATACGCCAGCCAATAGGGAATATGGTACTTGGGAGCATCGTAGTTCAAGCCAGTCAAGATACGGGACATGAAAGCCCAGAAAGGAACTGGTTCATCATTTGTGATATGAAATGCCTGAAAGAGAGGAAGACAAAAAGCCAGATGATAAAATCATCACGGTTTTCACAAATTTGTGTCTGTGATGGCCCATCTCATGTTCATGCTGAGACTGACATCCCTGACCTGACTGAGAGCACATTTGCATAAGAAAAATGAAACTTCTCTGTCTGAGAAGTGATGACCCCCTTCTTTGCTTTTTTCTCTGATGCTCCAGAGCTTCAGATTACTCATAAATGGTCAAACAAACTGAATGACACAAGACAACAAGAACACATTAAAGCATCCTAGCTGTACGTACAGCGCGTGCCCAGAGCACGGTGGTGCCATGGAAATCTGTAAAAGTTTCTGCTGTTCTGAACTCTATCGTAAAAGCTAAATAACTAAGTTTCATACGTACGCATCTCGGCTGCCCACAGTTCTGCCTGGATTTCCTTTCGCAAGGAGTTTTATAGCATGGAGTTAAAGTATATTCATACATCTTAGCCCATGTGGTTGCACACAATGGTCACCAGATGGGCAACTATTCATTATACCCACAGACAGAAAATAATTGACCCATTTGTGTGTGCTGGTTTCACTCATCCCCAAGATAGACGTTCAGTAGAGACAAAAATCAGCACGAACTACAAAGCAGGCACATGAAGCCAAGCGAGGCTTGCAGATGAAGTTCAGGTAGGGGACACCCACTCCCCTCCCCTCGCTAGGTCCTTCCTTACCTTCCCACACAGGGGAGAGTCTTTCTGAAGATTTTCTGCAGCCAGGATGTGTCCATGGACCACGTTTTCCACATAGGTGAAATCCACCAAGTTCTTTCCATCCCTGCACAGACAAAAGGAAGAAGTTCAGCCCTAAGGCAAGCTAGGCTGAAAACCTGCTTGTGGCAAAAGGAAGGACTTTCACGTGAGTTATATTTATTCCAGGTTTCCTCTTCTCCCGGTCTCTTGTGCTAGAACTTCAGGCTATATTCTGTCAGAGAGTTGAAATCACTACATATTATTTTGGAGACAGAGGAAAGGCTGTTATTGTCTCAGTTCTTGTCAAGGTACTTAAAGTTTACGTTCCTGTAACAGTACCCTTTTAAACCCTCACAAGTTACCAAGTTTCTAGGTGTTGCAGATCCTACAGGTCTGACAATCAGCAGAGTGATCCGCAGAAGCAGAACAAATAGAAATAGCGTGGTAACTAGCACAAAGTCAGTCATTTAAGGACAAGCTTTCAATTATTAATTTCTTGGCTCATGAAATTCTAACTTACTCCCTCAACAAGCCAACTTCAGCCACAGCTGAAACAGATTTAACCCACTGTGTTAAATCTATTTCTACACAGGTACAGAAAATGAAAGCGAATCTGCATATCACTTTCACGAGTCCAGCTAAATCAAACAAATGCTTTGTTACAAAACCATTGCCACCTTGATTTGGCCATAAAAACAGTATTGCTGCGATCCAACATTCTGAGAAAGAATAATTTTCATTTCCTATGTCCACGGATGAATAGCTACTTTATTTGCTTTCTTGGAAGGGATATACAGGTCTGTACAGCGGTAGGAAAACTCAGATGAGGAATAGGTGTTTGAGCTGGAAGAGAATGCAGGCTTGCACGAAGGGGAAACCTTGAGTTTGTGTAGGTTTGCTGCTCACAGATCAGTTTGTGAGATCAATTCAGAATTGAACCATAAGGAAGAATACGCACCAGAAAAACCAAACCCCAACTCCAAAAACCCCACAACTCTATTTCTTCCTTCTACCCCAAGCGGATTTTCACATGTGCACATATACACACAAACCAGCTCCTTGCACGCAATAAAAATCTATTCTAAATTAAATAGCAGGTTTATTTTCAAGAGTGTAAGACAATCGATAAAAATATCCTTGAACTATTTCTTGCTCCAAAATTTCAGTGGTCCACTAGAAGCTCTGCAAGGCTCAATAACAAGGCAAATACCTTTGATCTTATAATCAGAAATATTAAAACACTGCCATATAGGCTTTTTAATTGCAAGACCCTCAAATACCAGAAGTGCATATTAATTAAATTAACAGCAAGTAACCTGAGCTCTCTCATACTTAAAAGGACAGCTCTTTAGACAATGCAAAGACAGCTCAAGCTACGTCAGCTTTCCCCACTGATGATGTTCTTGCATTACGAACACTTACCATCTGAGTGCATGAGTCCCTAACACAGAAGGATTTAAAAAAAAAAATCCTGGATCACAAGTGAAAAATTAAAGAAACTTACTTTTTTCCATGCCACAACACCACTACTGATCTAATATTATTCCCTTCCAAAAGGGCTTTGTAGGTTCAGCATCAATTTTAACGAAAGCTGTAAGATGACTGAGCCTCGCTTACCCAATTATGAACTTCATTTTGCCGCTCTTAGCTGCTTGGATGAGGATGGGAACCAGCTGAGGGTCCCTAGGACCAAATATTCCATGGGGACGAATAGCAGTAGTGAAGAAATTATTGCCTGGGTCATTCGCACTGAGCACTT